ACACACACACACACACACACCCCTCCAGGGGGAAGAGGGGGGCTGGGAGAAGAGATGAGTGGGTAGTGGCCATCTTTTCTGCTGCCTGCTGTGCCACCCCATCATTCAGCACCTTCCCCTCCTAGGCAGGCTGTGGGTCTGGCCCACAGCAGTAGTGAGGACCACTGGGGAGCAAGCAGTTTATTTTTATGAAGTTTTTTGTTGTTGTTTTTTTTAATACAATCCTGGATTTCTCAGTTTCAGCGAATCTGTGAAACCAAGATTTTAAGTAGACCCCTAGATATAATGGATCAACTCCTCAATTACAGGGAATTGGCACAGTTCCATTGAATTGGAACTATGTTAATTGGAGATATGCCAAAAGACACCAGCTGAGGATACGGCCCCTTTTCTACGATGATTTCCTGGAGGCTTGCTCATAATTCATTATTGTTATTTAAGGAGTCAAAATACAGAGTATCTACAAGAGCTCCATTCACTGTACCTCAGTGAATGCTGGACTGCCACAATTTTGAAAGTCCTTCTTGATTGTCTGGCTGCAACATGAAAATAGTAAATAGCAGTAAAGGAATCTTGGAAGGCTTTTGTCCTGAAAAAGTATTGTGAAGTTATTCATTGTTGTTAAGTCTGTTGCTGGAGTTGTGTAAACTACAGACGGGTAAGCTGATTTATATAGAAGTAAGGATATCTACTAAGAGTGCTGGTGTTTTTACTGAATTTTAGGGCTGTATTTACACAGGAACAAAGGTTGTGAAAGGAACAGGTAAATTCTATGTGCACACCTGGACTGCAAACAGAAACATCAGCACATTTCAAGAAAACTTGTCTTTAAGTATCTCTAGCCAACCTCAGAAACTGGATTATGGGGCCACAGGCTGCCTACAGAAATGAAGTAAAAGGAACAGACTTGAGAGAGAGGAAAATAACTGAACTGAAAATGTCCAATAGGAAGGAGACCTGTGTGGATTCTCTAAAACAAAAAGGGGCTTGCTCAGTATCCCCTGATAAGGTAGGCAGACAAAATGGGACCTCCAAAAATTGGGAGATGGTGGGTTTTCATCCTGTGTCCTGAAGGGAGTGTAGGCCAACCCAGTAGGGGAAAAAATATCTTGCAACTGGGGTAAGTAGGACCAAAATTTAAATCACTGCATATTTATGAAAAAGTAAATTACAGGTTATCTAATAATACAGGGAAGCAGTAATCATTGAGATGCAACCGAAGGTTCATTTTCTAAGTGAAAAGCCAGGCTTTCAAACCACTGGATACCCAATCTAAAAACAGAAATCATGTGGGAACTGGAGTTAAATTTATTATCTTAAGGGAAAGGAAAAACATTCTTTATGAAAACAAAATTGTTTGCCAGAAAGGAAAAAAATATATTTTAACACCTTCAAATCATCTCTCTACAATGATTTATGAAAGTTATTTTTAAAGAAATAAAGCCCCTACTTTTTCTGTTTTTAAATATTTATTTTAATGTAACAAGAAGTACATTCTGAAAAGGAATCTTGCTTGTTCTGATTTTTTTTCCAGGCACTAGCCTTTATCCATTTCAGGTGATTTGTTTGAAGTCCTTGGCAATCTTCTCTTTTGGGTGTTTAATTTAAATGAGGTAATGGGACTGATTTAGTTAAATGATTTAAAAAGCCAGAAAGCCAACAAGGAAACCTATATAGGGAAGCATGAGAGCTTGTTAAGGAAACCTGGGGTTTGGGGGAGTATTCATTTTGTTTTGTTTGCATAATGATAAGGAGAAGGATGGGTCACTGAGGCAGTAGCAGAGAAGACCTGAAGAACTGCAGAACCAAAGAACGTGACTATTGTATGTAGAAGTTTAGGATGAACACTTCTCTTGAACGGGTACTTATGGAAAGTTACTAATTCAGAAGGTATCACTTGATGGAGCTAGAGGCAATGATGGAGTTCAGAAAAGCATCTGAAGATGTGATGGAGGAAAGAGGAGAGAGGCTGCAAACATAGTTCACAGTTTGTTGATACCCGCAGAACAAAAGCACCTGGAGGCAGAGCCCCTAACTGAAGAGGATGACATGAAAGCAGGTGACTGATGAGACCATTTAATGGAGGAGAAATAGAACTGAGTAAGTTTGCTGTGCTGGGTGTGTCACTACATTCCTCCTCCCAGGCACTGTGCTCCCAGAAGCAGTTCAGTCTGAATCACAAGGATTAGCACGTGAGAGAAGCTGATTGTGAGGAACAGTTTCAAGGGAACTGAGATGCAGAGGCCAGTGATTGCATCCAATTCTAATAAGTGGACCCTATGAAAGAACAATGGTCACAGGCCATGTCTCAGTTCCCGTTCCCTACTGAATTGGCCAAGAGATGGGTGGGCATACAGAGATCTGAACATGAACTGTATACAATTCCCCCACAGAAAGGCAGAGGGGTGGGAGTCTGGAACATACCTCAAATGGTGTCTAGTTTGGAGGAGCTTGCTTTGGTGTCTCTTGCACTTTGCTAGATAAAATAAAATCCCCCAGAGACATCCTGGTGTAACAGGAAGAAAACAAGAGTAACTGGACTCCCCAAAAAGAGAGGAAACAACAAGAAAGATAGCCAGAGATTGGAATCTGAGGACAAACAAAGAAAATGTTAAGAAAATTGCAAGAAAATACAGACTTTGGTTCCTCATACAGGTAAGCATGCACAGTCCAGCCCACAAATATGCTAATGCATATTCATGAATGCACACAATGTAATCCTCCATCATATCTGCCCTGCACACACAAATGCATTGTGAGCACTACATCCCATGATCTTAGACGTACATACAGCCTCACGTACAAATTCACATGTGCATACTAGATATGCGTGGTGGACAGAAACTCCTTTTTGTGAAAGACCCAGATGTATTGTTTGATCACAGAATGACCCAAGATCTGATAATGTGATTTGAGTGTAAAAAACTAATTCAATTCTAGGGTATAGTACCCAGGAAATAGTCTGTAGAAACTAGGCAGTACAAAGTACTGGTAAGATCCCATTTAGAATATTGTGTGCAATTCTACTTACCAGTGTTGGAAAAAAATATTAATTTAAACTGAAACAAGTACAAAGAAGGGCCATTAAAATGATTAGGGGTGTGGGATTTTTTTCGTATGAAAGAAGTTAAAGGAGTTTGGCCTGTTTTCCTTAATAAAACTTAGATTGGAAGGGAATAGGATTACTTTTTACAAACACATTTGTGGACAGAAAACAACACCTGCACAAAATCAAGTTGGTACAAACTGGCTTTGACCAGATATAGATTAGAAATTAGAAGAAGATCTATACCTACCAGAGGAGTGGAGTTTTAAAAAATCTTCTAAGCCAAGTAGTAAAAGCAAAGAACTGAATTACAGGGATTGAATTTGAGAAGTTTATGGAAGGGACAGTGTGATAAACTGGGGAGTTCTTGGTTCAACAATCAGCATGTGAGATATATGGGATCATATATTTGTGACCCCTAGGTTGTGGGGGTAGGCAACTTTTGCCTGTACATTTCTGGTAATCCCATAATTTTGGGCTTTTCTGGTCACCCCACATCTCTTTTTCACTTCTGAAGCACTGTTACGTTATTCACAGATCCTTGTATCCTTGTTACAGTCCCTATCCTCGCCTTCCACTGTACCCAAGTAACAGGGTTTGGGTCCCCTGTTACAGCCATGTTCCCCTGGGATTTCCCCCCCCCCCCCCCCCCCCCCCTCCGGCCCTCCTGGCTCCACTAGTGGCATGGTCCCCCCACATACCCTGCTGTGTGCTCCACTGCCAGCACATGGACACCCCACCTCCCACCGTAACGGCTGCAAAAACAGATGAACCTGCCTTCAGGTTCACATGCCTTCAGGCATGTGAACCTGAAGGCATTTTCCTGCTGTCCAGCAGCAGAAGAAACTCTTCCTAGGGCCTACAGGCTCCATGCAGGCCATCAGTTGGACAGCCCTGTGTTAACCCATTTCTTCCTTGGAAGTGCAGTTTCAGGGCATTAGCAGTGCCCTCAATAGTAGTGCTAATAGCAGTGGCAGATTGTAATGTAGCCTTTGTGTTTTCAGCTTTTCACCCTGTCATTCTGTGAGTGGGCTTGAAGTGGCAATTTTAGTTTGAAGGTATCTGAAACTTATCTATGTCTCTCTTATCTATACAGTTGGTCCAATAAAAAAATATTGCCCACAAAATCATTTGCCTCTGGGTTTGAAGTGGTAATTTGGGTAAATCATAGCTTGCAAATCTAGGAGACTGTGCTTAAACCCAGTCCTATGTTCCTTTTTCCTATGATCTTCAAGCAGAAGGAAGAACGGAAGAGAGAAGACAAGAGATTCACACCTACACCAGGAAGAGACAGGTCTATATGACTGGAGTCCCCTCCTCAAAAAACCATGGACAGGTCTATCATCAGAGTAGATCCAGAGTATGTAAAAGTGTGCCATCTTTGCTCTGTCAGAAGCAAGGATACAAGATACAAACCTGAGGTGAAAAGAATCCTTCACATTGAAACAAGTGATATTGCACTATTCCTACTGGAACAGGGAGCAGCTGGGGAAGATGCTTAAGGTGGAGGCTCAGGTGATCTGTGGTAGAAATCTTCAAGCCCTTAAGGGGCAAATGTGTGACAAGGTAAAGGAGAGCAATGTATGAGCTGAGAATCGGTGCTCTGAAGAAGTTTTTGAGTTTGGGAGTATCAGACCACTGGTCAGAATTCATAGAAAAAGAGCTCATCTCAAAGAAGGGATTCTCCTGAAGTAAGAGCCTTCTTGGATTGAGGCTGGCATGACCAATCAGAGTAAATTTAAATTAAGAAAGGAAGGGAGACCTATTTAATTTCTACACCTGATTTTCGTACACAGAAAAATTTTAAATCTGGTAAATGATGATTCAGCAATGGGCATATTGAGCACAAGGATAGAAAGTGTTAAAACTGATGTTGATAGTAGTCAGAAAAATTATTACCTTCCTTGCCTAATCTGGATAGGAAATGGGTTGTCAAGACAAGAAACCCCTAAAAATCTAAAATTAAAACTAAAAGGAGGAGCATGAATAGCTGGTGGAAAATGTGAATTCAGATATTATAATAATAGAAACACAGGGAATAGCAATTATGACTGGAACATGGAAAGAAAAATAAAGATGGTGCAGTATTAACCTTAACAATTCAATAAATTAGAAAGATTATAAAGGGAAGGCATAGATCCAATGAAATATATTTGTATGAAAATATTTTTGGTGAAAGATGATAAATAGGCATTTATTGAAATAGAGGTGGGAGTCCGCCATATACCTACTTCCCCAGAAAGTCTTATTTGGCTACGACTAAAAAGCTCAGAGCTGATACTGGAGATTGTATCAATATGGCATACTTTAATGTTCCACATATACATTGGAGCACTTTAATAATAATGCTACAGCTTAATGATTCCTGAGCACTGTAACCAACACTTTTTTTCGCCAAATGCTCCCTAAAACAAGAGGCAATAAAACTGCAAACTTGGTGTTGGTAAGCAGTGTGGGTCTTATACAAGAGCTAGTCATAGGAAATAACCTTTTATCAAGTGATTAAAAAGTTGATTCAGTTTAAATTAAAGCAAAAGCTCTCTCATAATTATGGCCCTTGATTTCACAAGTGCAAGCTTTGATGTACTTTGGTAATGAAATCAACTAGTCTGATTTGCTCAGGGACTTGAATGTAAAGAAGGCCTGGAATTTCTTTAGGGTAAATGTAGCCAGAATTTGTATTCCAAGCAAAGGAGAGAAACTGCTATAGAAGTGTTCCAGACTTAAGTGAAGAAATAGAAATAGGGATTCATCAACAAGTCAGCTATGTTTGAGGTCATGAAGGGAGAAAATCTGGAAAAAGATTTTCTAAGTCACGCCGAGGTAGACTTAGCAAAATACATAGTATAAGGCTATTCAGCCATAAAAATAAAAGGAAAACAAGGAAAGAAGTGAGACCACTATGCAGTGACGACACTGTAGTAACTAGAGAAAATCTAGGTATGGTCCAAAAGCCAAATATATACTTAGTTTTTAATAAGGGCAATGATAGAGAGTAGAGTCAGCAACTTTTTGCAGCAAGGGGTTTAGCTTTAAGTGTGGGCCACTTCCACCTGACCTGTGCTGCTTCAGTGGTAATCACTGCTCCCCACCACAGTACCACTACCACCACTTCTCCCTGCCACTTGAGCAATCCCCATCGCCCTGCCAAAATATAGCAGAAGCCCCCCATTCTATGGGTCAGATACAATGGTTCTGTGGGCCAGATCCAGTTTATAGGCTCTAGATTGCCAGCCCCTGACACAGAGCATGGGGACAAAGGCAGGATGGCTAATAGGAGTGAGTTAGGGCTGTGCGAAGCTTTGGTCCCTGATTCGATTCAGCGGAGACTCGGTCCAATTCGGTGGCTGAATCTCTGAATCAAATCAGAGGACCCTTTAATCTCTCCAAATCAAGTCATAGTTTCATAGTTGGTAGGGTCAGAAGGGACCTGAGCAGATCATCAAGTCCGACCCCTTCCCATGGGCAGGAAAGAATGCTGGGGTTAAACAACCCCAGCAAGGTGATTATCTAACCTCCTTTCAAAGACCCCCAGGGTAGGGGCGAACACCACTTCCCTTGTGTGCGGGCCGGGAGTGATCCGGGCCCTTTTTCGCGCCGCGCGGGCTGTGGCCAGCAGCCCGGGCACGCTGGGTCGGAGAAAACAGGCAACACGCTAGAATTAGGCACGGACGCTTAATGGTTGATTCAAGATTGTTTACTTACACTGAAGATGGTTGCGGTGTAGGCTGGACAGTTTCCCAGGCACAGCTCCGCTTAAATCCTCGTTTGAGGACTCAGACAATATTCAGATCACTCCCACGGAGTTGTCGAGGCTCCGTGGATCCTTTTGCGCGCAGGGAGAGGGATACGTCGAGGATTGCGAACGGCAACGGGGAGAGGCTAGAGGCTGATCAGACCCCTGTTGCCTGCTTGAAATGCACTGGGT